TTTGCATTAACTTTATCAATCCAAAAGTTAGATAAGACCGTATAATTTTGAATCCATAACTTAAATAATATATATACTATCGACATTCTTTATGCTATTATGAAGTTTTTCTTTAGAAATCCATCATAATCATATCTATGTTTTGTTTTAATTGTAAATTTTTCTTTATAAATACTAGAAAAGGAAAAAATCATATTCAATGTTCATTCATAATAGTCAATACATTGATAGATCAACCGAACGAGTATTACAATAATATGATCAAAAATATATTATTACCTCTATATGCCTTTAAATAATTAGTACATCCAGTTGTATGGTACAAATTCTATATTCGAATTGATTTGAATACATTTCTAATACATGTATATGTGTTATAAATATGTCTGTGTTAATAGTGCTACTATTTTTTTGATATATATGAAAATAAAAGGATAGAGAAATGCTAACAGAAATACGAACAAAGTGGTTGAGTTGTATTGAAAGTCAACTATGCCTTTCACCAAATTTTTGATATATTTATTTTTTTCCATAATGTATAATCTAATAATTAATTTAAAAAATTCTCATTTTTCATCCTAATTTCATGGATAATTAACTTCCCACCTTATCATTATCAATATTAATATGACACTACTATTTTAGTAACATTGTTTTATTCACACCTATATAGTTTGAAAAGGTTGCCATTATAAAAGCAAAAGTAAAAATAAAAAAAATGGCTTTCACATACTGTAATGTTTTACTAAGCACAAAAAAAAAAGGATTTTTTCTTTATGGTCAAAGTATTCATTTCTATAAATAGTTTGAATAATTTAGAAACTAAAAGAAGAACACTAGTAGATAAAATCTTTTCTAGAACAAGTATGCAAAACTGAACATCACAATTAATCTATCGACGAAGTACCTAAATACATTGTGAATACAATATTTATTGTGACAAGACCTCGATATTTACTTGCTAGTGAATTTATTTTTTTGTCCTGCCTAGTTGCTTCCACCCTTTTGCACCTTTAGTGACTCGAACTCACAATATTCAGGTTAAAAGTAAGGGATATTTATCATCCGAACAACTCTCTTGTCAGTGTTAAATTTATTTTCCATACGAAAAAAAAAGAAGTCAGTGTTTTATTCTTGTAGTCTATTATTAGTGACTTTTTATTGTATGCACGTAGTCCGTAGCTACCAACTTTATATATAAAATATAGTTGAATTTAACTAACAGATAGCATGTAATTGTAATAAGGAAAAGAAAAACAGAGGAAGAAAACAGGGGATTTTGTTACAATGGTTGTAGAACCATTGGGGAGTTTTGAAATGGAAAGGAGATTTGAAGGTGATGATTATGATGATGCTAAGAAGATGAGTAAAAAGAGCTTAAATGAATCCAAAAAGTTATGGGAAATAGCTGCTCCTGCCATTATCACCGCGGTTTCTCAGTTCTCCATTGGATTTGTTAGCATTGCATTCGTTGGACATCTTGGTTCTCTAGAGCTAGCAGCTATCTCTGTTGTTCAGAATGTTGTTGAAGGTTTTGTTTTTGGAATTATGGTATGTATTTGCAATGTGTTAGTTAAAATGTGTTATTATAAGCTTAAGCTGTTAGAGAGAACGTACTTTTAATTACTTATTTATGTGTTTGATGTGTTCACATGGATTGAATGTTTTGTTTGTTCTTTGTGTGTGTTGTATTAGTTAGGGATGGGAAGTGCTCTTGAGACACTTTGTGGACAAGCTGTTGGAGCAGGACAATTTGACATGCTTGGCGTAAATCTACAAAGATCATGTGTGATTACTATAGCGACAGCGTTGTTATTGACACCTTTTTATGTATTCACATCACAAATATTGAAGCTACTACACCAGGACAAGGAAATTTCAGAAGTTGCAGGGAAGTACGCGATTTGGGTGATTCCTCAACTCTATGCTTACGCGTTGAACTTTCCTGTTCAGAAGTTCTTACAAGCTCAAAGCAAAATATGGGTTATGACAGTAATCAATATTGTTATATTGGTATTTCATATCGTATTGAATTGGGTGCTCGTGACAAAGTTCGAGCATGGCCTTCTTGGGGCTGCTATGGCAGGCAATGTCTCGTGGTGGCTCGTGGTTTTAGCTCAGATTTTCTATGTTATTGCTGGGTTTTTTCCTGAATCATGGACTGGATTTTCTATGTTAGCTTTCAAATCTCTCTGGGGTTTTATTAAATTATCACTTGCATCAGCTGTCATGTTATGGTAAGTTCTGTTGATTTTGAGTCATAGAATTACTTTTTATTCTTGAGTTATGGTCAAAAACACATCTGAACTATCACTTTTTCACGAGTTTCACGCCTCAACTATCAGTTGTGTTCCCTTTACATATCTCTACTAGCACCATCTATGTAATAAAATAGAACATACCTCAACTATCAGCTTCAGCTGATAGGTGTGGTCATAGTTCAGATAGGAATAGTAAACAATTGATAGTTGAGCTGTGAAACTCCCGAAGAAAATGACAGTTTAGGTGTGTTTTTAACTATCGTCTTTATTCTAATACGATTGATATGATGATTCGATGATATATTTGACTTGTGAAACATTGGCAGTCTGGAGCTTTGGTATTTTACTGTGGTGATCCTTATGGTTGGCTGGTTAAAGAACCCGGAAATTGCAGTAGATGCTATATCAACCAGGTACTTGAAACTTTTGAATCTTAATAGAATTTGATTAGTTTTTTTCTAGGCTGATCACCTTTTTGTTATTCTTACTCTCTTTTCTAATGTTTGTCACAGTTTGGCGTTGCAACTTTGGGTACTAATGATCACTCTAGGTTTCAATGCTGCAATCAGGTTTACAAAAAATTACATGTTTGTGCTATTTATTTTACGCTCAAGTATTCCTCTTTGACACTTTGAATTCCACGGTTGCAGTGTTCGTGTTTCCAATGAATTGGGAGCTGGTCGTCCAAAAGCTGCAAAGTTCTCAGTAGTAGTTGCTGTAATTACATCAACTCTAGTTGGAGTTGTATTTACAGTTGTTGTAATTGCTACTAAGAACTACTACCCGAGATTGTTTTCTGATAAACCAGAAGTCATACATGAGACATCTAAGTTGGCATACTTCTTAGCTGCAACTATCTTTCTAATGAGCATTCAACCTATACTTCATGGTGATCAAAATTCATCCCAAATGTTAAAAAAAACGACACTGAAACTAGTCGTAGTGCTAAGTTATCTGAACGAACATTTCTTGTGCAAGTGCAGGGGTAGCAGTTGGTGCTGGATGGCAATATTCAGTCGCGATTATAAACATCGTTTGCTACTATATGGTTGGGCTTCCATTAGGTGCTTGTCTTGGTTACATTGCCAATACTGGTGTTAAGGGAATTTGGACAGGAATGCTTGTTGGTACCCTTCTTCAAACAATAGTTTTGACGTTCAAAATGTGGAAAGCTAATTGGCGAAAAGAGGTTTGAAAGTTTACAAATCTGAAATTTGATCCATTAACTAGACAGACTTATTTTGGGAATATGAATGTATACTTTATCTGGTGCAGGCAATTCATGCTGAAGAACGCATCAGAACATATGGTGATCAGCCTAGTCAAGATGAGATTGAGCACATTGGTTCACGTACTACCTCGCCTATGCAATAATCATACAAGAATCGTATAGGTATATAGTACAGTAAAATCGGAAAATTTTGCATTAGAATTGTTCAGGACTGCAACAAAAATTTGGTCACAATGGACCTGATTGCAAGTCTTATATTTACCAAAACGCTATGAAGTTGTAAAGAATTGAACTCTGCTACTTTCTAAATAAATTGTAAAAGGCGAAGCTAGGTGGAGGGTCGTGTATTGAAACGAATCAGTAGCTTTTTATTTTTATTTTCTGTAGTTTCTGTATTTCTACTAGAAAAATAAATAAAATTTAGCTTATGTATTTATTGGTTGTATTTAAAAGTCCTAGAATTTGAAAAGCCAAAGTTAAAAGAAAATGAAAATACAAATTATAGTAATGGTAGATATTAATATGTGATCTACTAGCATTTATGAGAATTTACAAAATTCAAAATGCTGGCAATCTAGTCAAAGGCTATATAAATCCTTGTCAATTTAGTATTATTTGCCCTTAATGTATGTTAGGGCTCTATATAACATCATTCAAGAAGTAAACTACCACTAAGATTATTTTTTTTTATTGATGAACAGAGTTAATAGCCCTTTCAACAAATCATAAGGTTAGATACCTGTTATTTCAAAGCTTTTATTAAAAGTTTAAATAAAAATGCAATTTTTTGCTCTTAGTTGATAATTTTAAATACTGTTTTGTTTGAATTGTTTTTGTACTGAGTTAAGATCTGATGTTATAAAGTTTTCGCCAGTAACATTGCTGGATTCCCCTCACTGCAGTAATTGTATTATTTCCTTATACGATGTTATAAAGTTTTTCTCGATAAAAATTTGTGTTATTTTTTAATCTCTGTTTTAAATTAAATTTAAACAAATAAATTGAAACAAATCGAGTAGCTTGATTGAGAGATGATAGGTGTCATTGCTTAGATAGAACTGAATCTACACTTGTAGGAGTAATTTTTTTCTAGAATTAATTAAAGATTTGTGTCCTTTTTTAATTTTTTTTTTCTATGAAAGGAAATTAATCAGAGAATAAGAACATAGAAGTAAACAAACCTGACCGAATATTTCCTATTAAGGAATATATTTCTTTGGAAAAAAAACTACTAAAATTGCTGTAGAGAAAAAGATAGATCTGCCTACATAAAAAATCATGGAAAATTTAAATATTTGATAGATCAATTTGCAGTACTAAACATGGTATTCACTCCATCCCAATTTCAAATTTAAGAAATAACGAAATACTTTTGAATTATGTGGTTATAATTAAAGACGTATATATTGTTGTCATAAACTTGATAGATAAAATATTGAAATTGAAAAAAAAAAACATAGAAGAAAAACACTTTTTATTTTTAAACAAACAGAAAAAAGTAGAATAACAAACTTAAATTGGGAGTATAAATACTAATTAATTTGGTTGTTGCGGAGATAGATGTCAAATTACTTAATATATCAGCGGTAGAAACGTACACACAACTATGCATTTAAGAATAACTTTGACATTCAACATTATTCCACTTGTGAATTCATTGTGTTCTTGATCAACTATTTATCCCCTTTTTTAATTATTTTTTTGATAAAATGGAGTGAACCGACTAAAAGTTAAAGGCGAATTCAGAATTTAGAGTTAGTGGATTTTGGATGTATGATAACTATATACCTGAATTATTTTTTTTCATATATTATATACATAGTTCGAGCAAAAACACCGCTAACTTTGTATGATAGAAGAGCATCAGGTATGAAATTATGGAAGAAAGCAATGTATTTTGCTTATAGAAAACAGATATCAAAGAAATGGATAGATGAATTCAAAAAAGTATGGCACATAGCAGGACCAGCAATTATAAGTTCAGTTTCTGTATTCTCTTTGGACTGTGTAACTGCTGCCTTTGCTGGTCAACTTGGAAAACTTGAGCTTGCTGCAGTCTCTGAAGTTCAAAATGTTCTACTATGCTTTGTAATTGGAATAATGGTATGTAAACAATGAATTCAGTTGAAGTAACAGAACTTGCTCTAGATATGTTTCTATTGACTCAAAAAATGACTCATTTCGTTGTTGAATTCTATGATATTAGTTAGGATTAGGAAGTGCACTGGAGACGCTTTGTGGTCAAGCAGTTGGTGCAGGGGAATACAACATGCTTGGAATTTACTTACAAAGATCATGGATTATAAGTATAGTGGCAGCATTGTTATTGACACCGACTTATGTCTTCGCGTCTAAAATAATGAAGCTCCTACATCAAGATCCAGATATATCTGATCTATCTGGTAAATTTGCAATTTGGATAATTCCTCAAATATTTGCAAGTGCATTGCACTATCCTACAGAGAAGTTTCTTCAAGCTCAGAGCAAAGTTTGGTTTATGGCTTTTAGTTCAACGTTGACATTGGCTATTCATGTGTTGTTGAATTGGATTTTTGTGACAAAGTTGAGTATGGGACTTGTTGGTGCTGCAGTAGTTGGGAATATATCTTATTGGATTTTGGTTGTGGCTAAGATTATTTATATTGTTTGTGGTTGGTTTCCTGAGGCATGGACTGGTTTTTCATTTTTGGCTTTTAAGTCATTAGCCAAATTCTTGAAGCTCTCAGTTTCCTCAGCTATAATGTTATGGTAAGTGACTACAAATTCATATGTTGCTCGGACTCTCCAAAAATGTTAAGCCCATACATTTTTGAAGGATTCGAGCAACATAGACTAATTCAGCTTCAGTACATCTGAGAGTGTGTTACATACTCTGAATCAATATTTTTTCCCTGATGAATGAATGTAATGATGGCAGTTTTGAGGTATGGTACTTCACAGCAGTGATCTTAGTTGTAGGAGGCTTGAAGGATGCTGAAGTTGCTGTTGACTCACTATCAATCTGGTAAAATATATTCCATAAATTCATTCATAAGTACCTTCATACATTCGGAGGAATCTTTGTAGCTTAGTCGGTTGGCTACCTGAACTTTCAAATGAGGTTCAATACCCGATTTCCCCATTTGCAGTCCCCCTTGTTTTAAGCATTCTGAATCCTTAGTATTTTTTTTTTTTGGATATTGCAGCATTAATTTGCAAGTATGGGCAATTATGTTTATCATAGGTTTCACTATATCAGCCAGGTTAGCAGTTTCAAACAAGCATCTTCTTCTTTTTTTCTGATAAAAATTGTTATTAGTAATTTGGCTAAACCTTATGTTCCACATACCAGTGTGAGAGTTTCAAATGAACTAGGGGCAGGAAATCCAAAAGGTGCAAAATTCACAATTGGAGTCAATGTGTTGATGGCAGCAATATTTGGAGCTCTTTTTTCAGTTATCATATTGACCACAAGAACACAGTTTCCAAGAATGTTCTCAAATGAGCCAAAGGTTATAAGTGAGACATCCAAGTTGGGTTGTATTCTTGCATTAACCACCTTCATTACCAGCGTCCAAACTGTTCTCCATGGTATGTATTTTACCTCACATTAAAAAAACAACTTAAATGTACTTTGGATACTGAATGAATGGAACATTTTGCAGGGGTAGCAATTGGTGCAGGATGGCAATTTCTAGTGGCGTTTGTAAACTTTGGATGTTATTATGGTTTTGGTTTGCCATTAGGAGCACTTTTTGGGTACAAGTTTAAACTTGGTGTACAAGGGGTATGGTATGCAATGCTTGGTGGCAGCTTGCTTCAAACAATCATCCTACTTGTTATTATTGGTCGAACCAATTGGCAGAAAGAGGTAATGGACATTGAGTTTACTGTAATTAGCATTGCATTGATAGTGTAAACTAAGAAATCACATAATTGCAGGCAGTTCAAGCGGAGATAAGAGTAAAGACATGGGGTGCACCAACAGAGACTCAGCAACAGTCGTGATGACGTCGCATATATATAGTTTTTTTTAAACAAAAAATAAGATATAAAACCATTAATACTAGTAATCTTCTCATTCTAGGAAAAGCATATTACTGTATCGGACTCACTGGCAAATTGACATTGATTCTGGCAAGGTTTGAGAGCTGGACAGCGGCATATTTATAATAATATTATAAAAACTGAGTTGTACATCTACAAGAACATGTTATTTAGCATAGTTGAGCTAGCACATACAGCATAGCCTACAGTTTTTTTGGGGGGTGGAACCAAATTGCAGCACTCCTATTATCTTAAAAGAGTTCCAATCTTGTTTAGGCCAATTGTAAGGCTTCCTCGCGCTTGATATCAAACACCTTGATAAGGACATCTTCAACAACCTACATAAGTCCATTTTCTCGTGATCACACTAGAGCCAGTAAATGCATCAACAAGTTTCATAGATGGAAACTTGGAAACATATCACTTGGATTGGTAACATAAGAACTAGAAGGAAAAGGATAATTATACAAAGCACAATAACCATAATAGCAGCTTCAGTAGAATTACCTTATCGGGGGTGGATGCACCAGATGTCACCCCAACTGTAATAGGACCCTCCGGTAAGAAGTTCTCTTTCTCAACCAACTCACCATGCTATCAAAATAACGTGGGTATGAGAACAAAAATACTCTCTTCAAATTTAGTTGCAAATCAGAATGAGTAAGTAAATCAGCTTACCATTAACTTGTAACTTATTTTGTTTCCAGGACCTACTCTCTGTTCACTGTCAATCCAGTATGAGGGAATTCCACGTTCCTCTGCAATCTCCTGTAGATGTGAAGTGTTACTTGAGTTCCAGCCACCAATCACTAACATAAGATCCAGCTTTTGCTCAACCAGCTTATACATTGCATCTTGACGCTCCTGTTATAAGTAGGGACAAGTAATAGGTCAAGAAATAATGATATAAAGCAACAAAATAAAGGAAAATACAGAAGGTCCTATAATGGTTTGGTAAGAAAGAATAAATCCAATGTTCAGACCTTCATGCAAATAAAAGAGGGCAGCCGGGTGCACAAAGCATCCCGCATTTACGCAGCATCCGATGAAGGGCCGCACCCTAAGGGGTGTGATATAGACAACCTACCCTAATGCAAGCATTAGTGGCTGCTTCCACGGCTCGAACCTGTAACCTATAGGTCACACGGTAACAACTTTACCGTTGCTCCAAGGCTCCCCCTTCTTTTAAGGAAGAAATAGATAACATTAACAATAAATGACTCTAGAAGACCATGCCAAAAATCCACCCTTCTAGTGCCAGTAGCAAGAAAACTTTGAGATGTATTATTAATGTCCTGTTAATCATGCCTAGCACAAACATGTCATGGTATGTGCACATAGTAATCTTCAGTATCAGAGGTACATAGGAGAGGGAAGCCATATATTACGGGGGGAGAAAAGGAAACCAGTGCAAGCATTTTTTTCATAAGCGTAATTTCAATTAATTAGTTCCATCTAAATGGAAAGAGTACAAATTCTCCAACATAACCATTGTAAGGATAAGGCATCATACACCCAAACATTGTCGTCATCTGTTAGCATGAGGTGAGAAGACCAGTTGGTAACCACTTTCTTATATCTTAGAAAGAGAAAAGACCAAGACTTATCCTAAATTGGATCACTCGTCTCCACTCCCCCAACCGCCCCAAACCAAAGAAATATGACAATCGATGTTAACCGAAAGACGAAGACTAAGTAGTCTAGGCTAGGAAATAAACAAATTACACTAAAGAGTAGGCTGAATTTACCTTCTTCGACATTTTACATCACTTTTAATAAAATATATTATTAGTTAGGTAATTGAGATCTAAAATTGATATATGGAAGAACGTACTGCTGAAGAAATTGAGGTGGGTACTATGGGAAGAAAATAGATACCAAAATGGATGTGCATCACATAGAATGATAGATGTAGAATATCGATTTGTTAGTCAGATTTTAACTAGAATGTCTCAAGGCAAAGAGGAAGAAAGGAACATATGATGCAATAAACAAGCACATAACACCGTCATCTGTATGTAGTGAAATTTAGGGACAAGGAGGATGTAAGAGAACTTACTTGTGTGGCATCGCATATAGTGTTGAAACTTACGAAGTGGTTGTTAACATTTTCCACCCCATATTTTTGCATCATGGTCCTCTCGACCAACTTCCCTGTATATCAAAAGAAACTAAATCACTACATGATTGCAGTCTGGAGAAATTCCATAATAGGGAGTGATACTCTGAATATAATCTAACCAATATCTTCTGTTTCTCCCTTCAACATAGTTGTTTGGTTTGCAATACCAGCTTTTACAAGGTCAACATCCGGATCAAACCCTTCAGAAACTGCATATTTAAATTTCTATACAGAAAAATATTCACAGAATCAGTATTAATGCAAAGTACTGCAACTGTAGACTGCAGGTCAAATAGGCAACTCAGGCAGCACCTGCATAAATGCCTCTTTGGTTGAGCTAGAACCATCAAGTTTACCTCCAAGAATATAATCACAGACATAAGTTGCCTGCATCAAGGAAGAATTTCCATAGAATAAGCAAGATGAGATTCCAACTCATTATTTCAAGCAAAGAACACTTATGGTGTGAAGTTGAAATACCTCTGCCATGTTCTTCACAATGATGTATTTCCCAGCAAAGGATGCAGTCGCAACAGTTTCCTCATGAGCATATTTACCATGGATAATGGAGGTATATTCTCCCTTCTTGTGCTTTTCAACCGTGTTCCAAACCTGTACTAAGTTTTATGAGAACTCTAATATAGTTCGAGGGACATAGAGGCCAACAATTCATTTTAGCAACTAGATCACAAACCTTAGTCACCCACGGGCAGGTTGTATCAACAATTTGTACGTTTTTATCACTCAAAACCAACATTTCATCAACAGCAGCCCCAAAAGCAGGCAAAACCACAACATCATCCTTGTCAACAACATCAAAGTTTTTCTTCCCTTCCTCAAGTGGAATGTTCTTAACATCCATATCCTCTAGCCTCTGATCCAGATAAAGTAATTTTTCAGAATTTATATGAGATAAGATGAGAAAACAAATAGACAACTGGCATCAACGAGAACATAGCCTGCCTATGAAAGTACAAAAAGCACAAAATGCAGAGGATGGCATCAGTGGTATCAGAACTATACTTCAAATTAAGAATGTGCACCAGCTATATATCCCATTCGAAAATTCTGCACCAGAAATTAATTATACTATTTTAGCTTTTCAGCATCAAGACTAACTAAAAATCCTTTCTTCTCACATATTCCTCTTCTCAATTTTCATGCCATTCAAGTACTTTTTATGTCTAGAAGAAGGGAAACAGACAAATAAACCTGTCAAAGCGGAATGGGGCACCAGAGAAAACCTATACATGATTTGAGGTAATCACTATATGAAAAAAAGCTTGCATCTTCTTAATAAAAAAAAAAACTATATGTAAAAAGGATATTTTTAAAATCATTTATAGTCAAAGCCAGTACTCTTCTATGTGTAACTAGTCTCACATAAGAATGAAAGGCCATGTCTTAAAGCATGAGAGCAATAGTTCCTATCCTTAGCTGCAACTTGTTCTAAGTAAGCAACTACTATATATACGAAACCACCAACAGCCTAAAAGTCGAGGCATATCGAGGAAATTCCCAAGATATATGTAGAGTAGGGAAGACCGGAGAGAAATGATATATACAATTTCACAGTCTTCCTCCTACAATAAAGTAAAAACTGAAAATCTTGAACGATGGCATCATGCACATGTGAGGATTATAAGAAGAAACCTTATTCACAGTGGGGTTGTGAATAATTTCATTAGTTATCCAAATCCTCTCTGTTGGAAACTGTTTCCTCGCTTCATAAGCAATCTGAACTGCACGCTCAACCCCCCAACAGAAACCATAGGACTCTGCAAGTTTTACGGTTACGTTTCCCCATGTATACTCAAATTCATTCTCCTTCAATTTCTTGATGATATCACCTGAAATTCATAGAGTAGTTATATATCATCCAATTCAAGAAGAAGAAAAGAAATTGGAAGACTTTTTACCCAAACAAGTTCTCTAAATTCTCATGTATAATTTTGAATGGCAAATAATTGATGATCGGTCCCAGAACCTAAAGTAGGGAAACTGAAATTAAGTTATGGATATGGAGGCAAGAACTTACTGGTATATTCGCGATTCATGAGTTCAAGAGTAGCTTCTTTGTGTCCAAAACCTTTACGATTGTAATTAGCACTTCTGGTCAGATTCTTCCGGAAAACCTTAGCATCGAACTCTGACTCAGCAGTAGCCGACGAGGAAGGAACAGGTTCGCCGGCGGAGCATCTGATGACGGAGAAAGGTTTCGGTAACCTGAAAGTTCTAGTCTCCGGCAAGGAGAGATCTGTGCGAGTGGATATACTAGAGAATTGAAGAGGAATAGCCATGGAAGGAGGAGAGCGCGCACGTGAGCGAATTGCGTTTGTCGTAGCAAAATGGGTGAAGTGAAGTTAACTAAATGGTGAGCGCAATTTATCCTTCACCACATGCTTTTCTCGTTTGGTTCAATTTCTGTCTTTTAGTTAAAAAATTGGTAATTAGTATTTTAATTTAGTTGTTATAGATGGAGTTTAGCCTTAGGCATCCCGTAACTACATCGGCACTTTGATACCTAATATTGAAGATGAGAAGCAAAACACTAATAACAATTTGTTCTTACTATTACTTTCATAATAGTGATTAATTTGTATTCCTTTTGTCATAATCATATTCGTATTGAAAATTTAATCTAAAAAAAAATTAAATAAATATATAACAATAAATTTACTGAATGTAATATCTAAATTGTGACATATAAATAAAAATGAATAAATAGTTATTAAAATTACAAGCTCATCAAAAAAAATTGACTTCATTAAACAGCATTGACTATATTGACACATTGTGTTTCGTGTTGGAGGAAGTATCCAAAAATATTAGGCTCTCCCACTAATTCATTTTGCCGTATTTAGGCTGTAGTTAACACGTTTTAGAAATATTTTTAAATTTTTTATATTTGATTAATCAAAAAAAATTGAAATATACTTGAGAATAAGCTTCTTAAAAATAAAAGATATTTATAAAAAAAAAATTAATAAAAGTTGAGTGATATAACATCATTTTCATTTTTATTTGCTTGTTAGTCTTTTTCTTTTTTCAATACGACTGTTGGGAACTTTCGCCATTGCAGTGATCTGAAGCTTTCTTATTTTTTAACAAAACAATTTTGAGGCTACAAAAGAATTGGAAATATGGACGTGGAATTTTTATAAATTGAGGATTTATTTAAGAAAAATATTGGTGGTTGTACAAGTCTTACTGTGGACTCAAGTACGGACAAGATCTACGGTGGTGACATCCAAACTTGTTGGAGAGATCCAAGCCGTTATTCATACAATAAGAAATCAACGGATGCCACGTGTTTACATACTCTTTATCCTTTCTTATCTATCTACCGTAAAACCTTATTAAATTAAGATTCGAGAAATTAATAATCTTCTAAAATAATTTTTTTTTCAATTCCAATTGGCATTAATGAAAAAATCACATATTTCGATAAAAGAATATATTTTTCAGGAGATTTTTATATAAATATATCATCCTATTGATATTATAAATTAATATTTTTTAAAAATATAAATACATCTAAGACAATTTATTGAAATATGGTCCAATAGTGTTCTGTTTTTTTGTTAAAGTTTAATTTTAGATAAAGTCCATCTCTAACTTTTATTATTGCACCCAAAAGTTGTGATATTGTTTTTTAAACTGTAAAGAGTTTTAGATGTTATGAGTGTGTCCTTACAACTTTGGTATTATACAACATTGTTTTTTCCGATAATATTTTCAATTTCTTCTAAATTTAGATTTCTGAACATGTATCATTTTCTATTTGGGTCATTTAAGATATTATTGACGGATATTATTTGCGATAACTAAAATCATCAAGTTCTTAAATGACGTTTTCACAAGTTCATTCAAGTCGCTTGAGATTTCGATCCTCCATTGAATTTTGCAGTGTTGAAAACAATTTGACATAATTTCTTTTGGAACATTTGTTGTCCAAATCGAAATTGCAAAATTGATAGCATTCAAAATATTAAACTTTACTTAATCCGTTTGTCCCACTTCATAGCCTTCTAATATCCTATAATAAAATATGTTGCGATAATGCATCTAAAAAGCTTTTATTACTACGATATCATAATGTTGAATCTCAAAACACTTTTTCATCAAATAAATAATACCTCTATAAATAAGAACATTTCATAATTTCACAATTATTAATTTAGTAAAATTTTACTGCATATTTTTTGCTCACGTGACGAAAAGCTACATAAATGAGTGTTTAATTAAGTTTTATTATATGAAATTTAAAATAATAATTTTATTTTTAAAGTGAAAAAAGATACTTTGACATACACAATATAAATATTTTTGAACTAAATTATAAGAATCTAATTTTTTTTTTTTCAATTTCATATAGTTGAAAACCTTTTTAAAAAATCTGCATATTTTACAATACATATAATGAGAGGGAATGCCGAAGGGTAATATGATTACGAAGTTGGAAATATCTCTCTCAGATTGTCCAAAAAATTAAAATTAATAATTAGAGAATTAAGGTTTAGGGTTTTCATCAAGGAAACGCCCCCATTTTCATCGTCATGGACCGGCCGGAGCCGGAAAAACCCGACGTCCTTCCTTCTACAGCTCTGGCATATCTTGATCGGAACTACTGGTAAGTAAGTAGCAGTATGTTCGTTCTTTAGTCCAATTCGCTTTCTCCTTTTAATCTCCCTTTCATATGCTCAGGGATAAGAGGTTCGCTCAAGAGGAACACTACGAATGGTTCAAAGATTATTCCCATTTCCGTCACATTGTTCTTCAACACATTAAACCTCAAACTTCTGTAAGTTTTTCTCTCTGTCTCTCTAATTATATCTACTAAGCATTGATGTTTTATTGTAAAAGTGTAACTTAGTTTTAGCTGAGGTGACAGGTGTTGGAGCTAGGATGTGGAAATTCTCAGTTGTGTGAAGAATTATATAGAGATGGCATTACTGAATTGACCTGCATTGATTTGTCTCCCATTGCAGTGGAGAAGATGAAACAAAGATTGATAAACAAGGGATACAAAGGTGTGAGAGAATTTCTACTTGTTCAAGTTTATGCTATTTCATTGGTTGCTTTAACTTATATTTGGCTGTTATAGAACAAATTGGTTTGTCTTTTTGTTGTTTGATTGCCTTAGAATATAATTCTATTTGACATGTGAGTATTTTATATACTGAGGGCTGGACATGATTAACTATTTTCCTCTAACGTTAAGGCAAACAGAGGAGGTTTCCAACTAGTAATGTAGTTCCATCTTACCAACAGGAAGGAGAAACAAAGGAGAGGATCATTACCTTTCTGCTTTATTTTCGTTACTCAAATTGATAGGTTATGTTCTTTATGAGTTGATCAGTGAAGTGTAATGATCTTTGGACTTTCCTTTGGTTTTACTCAATTTTGACCAATTGAACTGTTAAATTAAAACATTTTTCGTTAGCTTAAGTGGATTGTGATGGATGATCCTTTGTATGAAGATTGAGGTCTCAGGTTTGGACCTAAGATCTCATTGCTTGTCCACTGTAGATAAATTATTCTTTAACGCCTAAAGAAAAGATGAACTTTAAACAATGATGGCGTATAGAAGTTAGGAGTAGTTCTTGAGTAAATATAATATCTTCTAAGAGAGAAAAAGGAGCTAGAAGATGCTAAGAATCAGGTAACTTTTGAAAGTTGATGGTAACTCATATGTGCATGGCTGCATTACACACAAGCTTGTCCAACCCCTTGACTCTAAACTGCCTGAACATTCTGTCTAATTATTCTTTTTCTGGTTGAGATAGTGTCTTCACAATTTTCATGCTTATGAAATGCCCTGTGCAAAGTCAAAAACAGGTTTTGACGAGGAATTTCTATGGTAGCTTAGCCAACATTTTTCAGTAACTAAGATTAGATGACAGATTTGTGTTTTATAAGAATATTTGTTTATTATTATCCCATCCGAAGTTTAAGAAATTTTCTGGCTACAAAAACTTAAAGAGTATTCGCATTTGGTGTTTTCAAGTAAAAGAGCTCAATTGTATTGGATAAAGAAGGTAAACACACAACAAAAGTTAATGTCTGACAATTTTAGGGTGTTGAGATGCTCCAGTGTTGATGTTTTATGTTATCAATGTCAACAGAAATAAAAGTGCTGGAAGCTGATATGCTAGACCTGCCTTTTGAAGATGGATGTTTTGATGTGGTTATAGAGAAAGGAACAATGGTATTATTGGAGTACCTAGTGCAGCAGACTGCCCATCATTTTTCCTTTTCAAATAATCAGTTAATTATATGTAAATTTTTGAACTTCATTTATATTGTTTGAAATTGAAGGATGTGTTGTTCGTGGACAGTGGTGACCCGTGGAATCCACACCCTGCAACAGTGGAGAAGGTGATGAAAATGCTTCATGAAATTCACAGAGTTCTGAAACCCGAGGGCATATTTATATCTATCACATTTGGCCAGGTATTAGGAGCATTTTCTGCTTTATTTTTTAGTTTTTATTTGTAAATAGTAAGAGCAGCAGGACGTAACCAACACCTTATCTCTTTTCTATCATTTCCCTTGCTCAGAGCCTTTTTTTTCTCCATTCTTTTGTTAAACGCCTCTAAATTGCTTCATTTTGCTTTTGTTGGCCAGCCACACTTCAGGCGCCGGTTCTTTAGTGATCCTGAGTTTACCTGGTCTATGGAGTGGAATACTTTTGGAGAAACATTCCACTATTTCTTCTACGTCTTGAAAAAGGTAATTTGTCGGTCCAGAAAACTTGTCTCGCTCCACATGATGTTGGCTTACGTAAAGAAAATACGGGTTTTAAAGTTAGATACTGAATTGGAGTACTAAACTAATACAGGGACAAAGATCATCAGAGAGCGAGGAGTGCAGGGAGAAAACTCATATGCCATCAATATCTCTATACCATGACGAATTAGAGGGTGAAGACTTTTTATTCAGAACCAACATTGATGAGATGGAAAGCTAGAAATGAAATGTAAATTGCGACTCTCTACCCATTGCTTTATGTCTTCTATTTTAGGTCTGAGATTTTACAAAAAAAATATATGTAATTTTTCCATCACAATAATTGATATCGCTAGAGGAAGGGGTTGGACCTTCGACCTTGTGGTTAACAGCCACACGCTCTAACCAAGTTTTAATATAGCAAGTTGTTGCATAAAATATAGTGAGGTGCAAAAGTCGTTCTTGAAGAAATAAGGATAAGATATAGCAGATTACCAGTCCTATTCAAGTTGTATTATTATCCTGTTTACCTATTATTCAACACAAAATTAAAGGTTTGTGTTACGTTCCTTTGCTTATTTTCTTGGCCATGAAATGGACATTGAAAAATATTTAGTTTTTGTTCTTCAATTTCTTTGTTCTAATTGCTACTTAAATTATTTCTTGATTTCATTCCTTTAAAAATTCAGTCATTAGAGGCTACAAATACTTCCAGTCTAACAGTGATCGCATGATCTATATTAATACTCGATACTAATAATTTTTTAAAAATAATATTTTCACTGATTCTGACTTAAGCCAATAAAAAGAAGGGATCGCTCATATAAATATATGTTCCCATTAATATTATATAATATCTTTTTAAAGTACAAATATATATTAAACAATTTAGTGAAGTATGATGTTTTTGTGTTTTTTTTTTTTTTTTAAATTTTGAAGCTCATATCTAACTTTTCTTGTTATATCAAAAAGTCTCGATATTGCCACAACTGTAAATCTTTTTGATGCAATGATATCTTTTGTACTTTCATAACGCTTCATGTATTTGATTGTCATTGTTGATTTTACTACACCTTTTAAATGAGAAGCCATTTTTAGATGTGGTTTCCAAAAAAGTTTCGTGTTTTGTGTATATAGTTTATTCTCTTATCATCACATATTGAATGTTTTTAGAAAAGAAATAATGAATAATATTTGGTTATTAATAAAACAACAAACATTATGTATAATTGATTAATTTTTACAATGAGCCATTGAATTCTTGAATTTATTTTGCAGTGAATCATTTTACATAAAATATACATTACAATGAATCCTAACATACTTTGTACTTTATGTATACTAAGTTTATTTTTTTATATATATGAATTCAATAAATATGATATATAATTTAGTAAGATACAATGTTTTTTAGTGTATTTATTGTACTTTACGTATAATAAATTTATTTTTTATGTGATTTTAATAAATATGATACATAAACTAGTAAGATTTTGTGATTTTAATGTAATCATAATTAACCTTTATTGAATCTAAAAATACTCTTTAAATTAATAAATATTAATTTATCGATTAAATAATATATCTACAAATTAATAATATTTAATGATTCCACCTATATTAATTTAGTGAGATTTTACGGTAGTTTATATTAAAATTAAACTCTCTCTGTCCCTAATTATTTGTTTATTTTTCCTTTTTTAGTTGTCCCTAATTACTTTGTCAATTTTGACAAATCAAGAAAGAACAATTTCTTTAAACTATTATACTCTTAATTCATTACTTCGAAAAAAATAGAACTTTTTGAAAATTTTTAATTTTTAAGTAATCCATTTCACAATAAGTAGGGATAAAATGATTAACTTACTATATTAATAATTATTTTCTTAATAAATATATCAATTCAAAATGAAACAAGTAATTAGAAATAAATAGAGTAATTAATGAGTATTCATCATGATACAATTATTGAATAAATATATTTTAATTGATAAATGTTTGATGAACTATAAATGAGATAATATATACCTTGTATTTAATTTAAACTAATTTTCTTTTTCAATTTTAACCTGGCATGTCTTGAAAAAGCTTTGTGGAAAATATTTGATAGACAAGAATGTTATCTATTATTTTGTACCAGGATTGTTATTACGTATGAAATGTGACACTCATTTTATTTAAAAATATTTGTTGTTGTGTTACATTTTTTAGAAATATACTATTTGAATTTTGATCAAAATTTTAAAATATTTTTTGTTAAAATGATAAAAGAAAAATTACAGATTGTAATATTTCTTTTATAGTTTTGTTTTTTTTTAAAATAATTTTAAATTAATGTAAATTAATATTAGTCTTAAATTTGATTAAATTAAGTCTTGAAAAATGAAAAATAATTATTATTATTGAACATACGAAGTATTACAATATAAAAATACTAGATACAAGAGCTCAAGCTAGCACATACTCAATACATATTGTTTATTTGTACCAATTTATGTAACTTCAAACAAATTTGGAGAGTTAGTCAAATTTTTAATATAAATTATATATTTTTTAAGCTGTTAATCATGTGATTTGTGGTACATTTACGTAATTTTAAAATAATATATATTACTTTTATGTTTTTTAATTTATGTGTCACTTAATAAAATTTTAATAAATTAAATTTTTTATATGATCTTTTAAAATTATAAGTTATTAATTATTGTGATTTATAGTGCTTCATCATTTTAAATAACATATATTACTTTGTTATTCAAACTTACATGACAATATAGCATGTCACCCAAATTTTTTGTATGTCTTTTGAATATTTTAAATTTCTTATTATATAAAACAATTCTAAAATCTTATACTAAAACTAAATGTGAAATAATTTCATGTTTTATTATGAGATTATAATTCAATTGTAGACAGACTACCGTGTAAGTCTTGAAATTCTATTGTCCGATGTAATTATATCGATAGACAACTGTCTGCAACGGTCGCTTTTGAATGCTTTTAATATAAAAGTTATTACTATAATTATAATACAAAGCAATTTTAAAATTGTTATATTTCCACTAAAAGTAAATATGAAATAATTTCCTATATTATTATGAGATCATAATTCAATTATAACCAAACCATCGCTATGATTTTGAAATAACCTCGCCAGATGTAGGTATATTGACAAATAACTGTTGGTGTTTGATCGCTTCTAATACTAAAGTAATTACCACAATTGTAATATAAAACAATTCTAAAATTGTTTTATTTTCACTAATATAAATATGAAATAATTCCATGTTTTATTATAAGATGAATAATATAATTGTTACCAAACCACCGCTAAGACTTTGAATAACCCGCCACATGTTGATATACCAACAGACAGTTGTCTGTATTTGGCCAATTCTGGACGCTTCGAATACTAAAGTAATTACCACAATTATAATATAAAACAATTCTAAAACTGTAATATTTCAACTAAAACTAAATATGGAGTGAGTCTATGTTTTATTATAAGATGATAATACAATTGTAACAAAACCACTGCTAAGACTTTGAAATGATCTTGCGACGGTATATCGACTGGCAGTTGTCTACGTCTGGTCGCTTCTGAACGTTTCTAATACTAAAGTAATAACCACAATTGTAACATAAAATAATTCTAAATTATTATATTTCCACTAAAAGAAAATATGAATTAATTACGTGTTTTATCATAAGATGATAATACACTTGTAACCAAACCACCGCTAAGACTTCGAAATAACCTCGCCAGATGTCAGTATATCAACAGACAGTTGTATGCGTCTGGTTACTTCTAGGTGCTTTCAATACTTGAGTAATTACCACGATTGTCATATAAAATAATTTTAAAGTTGTTATATTACCACCAAAAGTAAATATGAAACAATTTCATATTTTATTATAAGATGATAATACAATTGTAATAGACCACTGCAAAGACTTTGAAATAATAACCTCGTCAAATTTCGATATATCGATAGACATTTGTCTATGTCTGATCGCTTCTGATAGTAAAAATGATTACTACAATTATAACATCAAGTAATTTTAAAATTGCTAATTTTATAGTTATTATTTTTACCTAGGGTAAATATAAGATAATCTCATAATTTACTATGAAATTATAATTAATCCATAACCAATTTCGTTGCTAAGACACTTTAAATAACCTACTTAGATGCAAATATATTAAGGGACAACGGACAGTTTCTAACCATTTTTATAAATGGAAAAGTAATTACTACGATTTATAATATAAAAACAATTCTTGAATTACTAATCTCGAAGTGAAAATTTCTACCAAAAATAAATATAAAATAATAATTTTTTATTTTTTATTATAAATTATATAATCCAATTTTTTTACCAAAAATAAATATTTTTTTACCGTTAACTAACCAGAGGGGATACTTACGACTTTTCCACATCAAAACGCGTCGTTCCGTTAAATTCTTCCATTTTGTTAAGCCTCTCTAACGACGTCGTAATACTGTCCCTAACTCCAATCCTAACTCGAATTCCCAGCCTCAGCTCCGGAGAAGCTAAAAATAAGTAAGCCCTTTTCCTATAAAATTAAAAAAAGAATCACAGACGTACATATTTTTCTCTATATCCTCTCGCCGGCCGGAGATATACGTCGCCGGGAAAACGTTAACTCACTCAAGGAACCTCTATTTATCCCTATCGTCTTCGGTGACAAGCTGATTGGAAGGGTTGATTTCTCACTTCGATCTGGATTCATACGTTTTTTTTTGGGTTTTTAATCTGTGCAGCGGCGACAAGTGAATGGAGGATTACGGGAGCAGTGACGAAGATACATATTCGTCTGATCAAGAATCTTATGACGGACTCGAGAATGAAGAGACTGATTCTCAATGGGGCTCTTCCACGGGAAACTCCTGCAAGGTGCTTTAAAATCCCTAGAATTTTTCTTTATGACTGATTTTTTAGTTTAACTGTTTCGGTTTTTGTGTTGAACCTATCAATTTTGATGATCATGTATGTGCTAGGAGTAGTGATTTGTAATTTCAAACATCTAAGATTTTAGGTCAGTAAGTATTGCTGTAATACACTTGCTAATTTGGGATTAGGGTATAGTTGATTGATTGAAGTCTACGGTATTTACCAGACTTTATTTAAAGGTTTTAAGTTTTTTTGCAAGATTTCTTTGTCTAAACTGTAGTAAAGAAAGTGTCTTTGAAATTACCGCCATCAATAAGGTTGTTTTTCTGTGGGTTTCAATTGTATGCTCCGCCATTGTTTTGAGCCCCTTTTTTATCTTCTTTGGCCCTCTCTTTATAGGTTTTATTTGATAATTTACACTTTGTTTTACAGGTAATCACAAGGGAGTCTCTTTTGGTGGCACAGGTAATAAGTCTTAAGTTTTTCTTGACACTTGAGGTTTGTATTGTAGTGTTCGTCTTAACATCTCAGATGTTTCATAATTGTGCAGAGAGAAGATTTGCGGAGAGTGATGGACTTGCTCTCACTAAGAGAACACCATGCAAGAACCTTGCTCATTCACTATCGTTGGGATGTCGAGAGGTTGTTTGCGATTCTTGTTGAAAAGGGAAAGACTTGCTTATTTGCTGAAGCAGGGGTAACTATTCTTGAAGAAATTGATGTTGACTCGTCTGTGTCTTCTTCGACTATGATGTGCGGCATATGCATGGAAGAGGTAGCAGGGAGTGAAGTCACGAAAATGGACTGTGGCCACTGCTTCTGCAATGACTGTGAGAACTAATTCTTTGAGTAGAACCACCTCTTTATTGATTCCACCAGATCTCATTCTACTTCTTATAAACTTGTTAATCTTTGATTTTTGGCCTTTAGGGTCTAATTAGTAAGTAGCATAAAATACAGTTTTGTTGCGACTGGTTTTAAGATTTATGAGCAGAGGGTCTATGGGAAATAACCTCTTTACCTCTAAGGTGGGGGTAATGTCCACATACACTCTACTGGCCCAGACCCCACTTTGTAAGAGTACACTGGGTATATTGTTGTTTCTAAGATTTATAAGGTTTCTTGCTTCTATACGTTTGGTTCCTTTAAGACGAGTCTAACTAAAGAAGTTCCAGTGTTCTCTTTTTTGTTACATGCTAATCAAATTGCAATTTTTTCTGCTACTTATTTCATTTTTGTGCTAGAGACAGACTAATTCTTATTTTATTTGTTTAGGTTGGACAGAGCATTTTATTGTAAAAATAAAGGAGGGTCAGAGTAAGAGAATAAGGTGCATGGCTCATAAATGCTTTGCTATCTGTGATGAAGCTGTTATCAGAAAGCTAGTTAGTAAAAGGCATCCTGATTTGGCAGAGAAATTTGATCGGTTTCTCCTTGAATCATACATTGAGGACAATAAAATGGTGAAATGGTGTCCAAGTATCCCTCATTGTGGGAATGCTATTCGAGTAGAGACCGATGAGTTCTGTGAAGTAGAATGTTCATGTGGTTTACAGTTCTGTTTCAGTTGCTTATCAGAAGCACATTCACCTTGTTCTTGCTGGATGTGGGAACTTTGGACCAAGAAGTGCCGAGACGAATCCGAGACTGTTAACTGGATTACAGTTCACACTAAGCCTTGTCCAAAGTGTCATAAGCCGGTCGAGAAGAATGGAGGTTGCAACTTAGTTAGCTGCATTTGTGGGCAAGCATTTTGGTGAGTTTATTCTTGATATCTGTTTTGTACCTAGATTTCTCTTAACTGAAAGCTGATTTTGATGTTATTGATGAACAAACAATCTGGATATATGTCAACACAGTTGGTGCTTCATTTGCAGAGAACATGGCTTGATGGCACAACTTTTTGTTTTACCCTAATACTTTAAAAGCTGAAAAAACCCCTAAAAGATTGGAATTCCTTTTGGAATTTTAGGATCAGGGTCGGATTTGATCCTATACTTACTGTTATAACTGAGATATCCCCGAGGATTAGTGGTGCACTGACCGAAACTCCGCGGACAATGGCTCCAGTCCTCTGTCCTTCTCCACTTAAATACCAGACTTTTTATCTGTGGCAAGGTTTGAACCGGTGACGTGCACCTAACTCTCACATCACTTACTGCGCTGCACTCTTACCACTTTACTAAAGCCTGGAGGCGATCCAAAATTTCAATCTAGTTTGAAGTCAACATATATCTAGTTTAACTTAAGTTGTATTGATAATACAACCTCCTTTGTAAGAATTTGGACTTCTAGGGCTCACTGTCTTGTCTTTAGTTGAGGTTCCCTTTTTTTTGGGGGGATAAAGTTACTAATTTTGTTGATGATGGGAGAAAATGAACTCCAGAAATATACCATAAGTAGGGAACCTACTTTTGATTCTCTGTGGAAGTTAACTACTTATCTGTACAAGTAGGAATGTCTTGGATGCACCACTCAACATTGACAACAACGCGTTAGTGTCGTGTACACCAAAATGAAGCTGATCCTTAAGTGTACGAGGCCAATATTTTTTTTTTGTGATGTAGTAAGGAGATTTCATTAGAATGCATCAATAAGATGCAAATGTACAATGCCATTCTCAACCCCTTCGAATGCTCTCATATCTATCTGTACAAGTAGGAATGTCTTGGATGCACCACTCAACATTGACAACGACGCGTTAGTGTCATGTACACTAAAATGAAGTTGATCCTTAAGAGTATGAGGCCTTTTTTTTTTTTTGTGATGTTGTAAGGAGATTTCATTAGAATGCATCAATAAGATGCAAATGTACAATGCCATTCTCAACCCCTTCGAATGCTCTCATATTCCTCTCTTTCCAAATCACCCACATTTAGGACTGAGGCGCAACATTCCATGGGTTGAGTCTTCTCTTTATTTTCCCTGAAGTACCATGTGGTACAACATCCCAGTATTTAATTAAGGTTTCTTAAACTAGAAATTTTAGACCTCACACTTATTTCAACACTGACAGTGTCTAGCCAAACCGAAAAGGTTCATGTCAGCACACCTAAGTATAGCAACAATAACTAAACATTAGTCTCAATCAGTTGGTATCTCCTGTATATTTGCTTGGTTTACATTGTGTTCTATGCTTTACTAAGTCTGCATGAGGAAATTTGAGACAGCTTTTCCTCCATATAAGTTTTAAGTTTATTTTGTTCCCATATTAATATCTCCAATGATCATGGTGTCAGTGCTATGAGCTTGTGCGTTTGGATGTCTATGTTAAGACATGACTTAATCATCTCAACAATCTTACCTCATTCATCCACATGTTTCTACTTGCACTATGTCATACATGATGATTTCTATTGTTGTCTAGTCTTGAATTATTGCACATATATCTTAGTTGTTTGCAATTCTATAACATTTATCTTATGGATATGGCTTGATTTAGTGGCCAATATGCACACCTATTTCCATTGTTGGTCATACAGTTGTTACTAGGATTTTCTCTACACTAGGTATTCTCTTATCACATAGTATTCCCTTAGCATCCTTCAATTCAATCATCTTATTTAATTGCATGATATTATTCTCAAAGATGGAGTCTAAGTACCATAATTGTATACATTTTAGGCAGTACAACTGTACAACCTTGTCTAATCTAACTTTAACCTCATTTTTGTTATATGGCTAAAGTTGCAATGCTTGTATTGTCTTACTTGAATCTGTATTGAGCTATATAATTGTCTTTATATGGACTGTGTAATGGCTTCCGAAGGGGTTTATGTAGATTTTATGCTTACTTCACCTTAACTTTGAGTTGGATGTTCAAATTCTTTTGCCTGGTGCGCATATTCACACTCTCTTAAGTTTGAGTGTTGTTTTACCCATTTCATTCCAGTAATCAACAGTTTGGGTTTCCTAAAGCTAAATACTTCTCTACATTCCTTTATACTTCTCTAGAGGAATTTCTTCTTTTCCAGTTTAGTATCTTGATCTTGTTACATTTTTCTTTGTGCTGTAGTTGGCTATGTGGTGGAGCTACTGGCCGAGATCATACTTGGTCAAGTATCGCTGGTCACAGCTGTGGTCGTTATAAGGAAGATCAGGAGAAGAAGTCTGAACGGGCTAAGCGTGATCTCTATCGCTACATGCATTATCACAATCGTTATAAAGCTCATACGGATTCTTTTACACAGGAGTCTCGTCTGAGGGAGACCATAAAAGAAAAGGTAGCAAATTTAGAATCAAGGGATTCAAGATTGAGAGACTTTAGTTGGGTTACAAATGGACTTTACAGGCTGTTCAGATCAAGACGGGCTCTCTCATTTTCATACCCATTTGCATTTTATATGTTTGGTGATGACTTATTTAAGGATGAAATGACAAATGAGGAAAAGGAAATAAAACAGCATTTATTTGAGGACCAGCAACAGCAGCTTGAGGCAAATGTTGAAAAGTTATCAAAAGTTTTTGAGGATCCATTTGATAGTTTTGAAGAGACAGAGATTATGGAAATGAGGATGCAAGTCTTGAATCTCTCTGTGGTAACTGATAAACTATGTAAGAAAATGTAAGTAGACATCTGGATGTCCTAAGTTATTGGTAGTTTAGTGAGAAACTGATGGTAATGCTGATTTTCAGGTATGAATGCATCGAGACTGATTTATTGGGAGCTCTACAGTTTAGTAGTCACAATATAGCTCCGTACCAGTCAAAGGGCATTGAGAGAGCAACAGAGCTTAATGGAGGCCGGAACGCCAAAGCAAACAACAACATTACATGTCAAAAAGCCCATGACCAGACAAATGGTGAAGTTTCCATCCTCTCTCATGCCAGAGTACCTATGTAGATCAGTCATCTCTGCCTACTGGGGCGTGGTAGTTTATTGCGTCTACCTTACAGTTTTCATTGCTTTTGCAAGTGATAGAAGTACTTTACATCATCTTATAGTTAACTGCATCAAACTTATTCCACCCAAAAAGGTTACCCCCACACCATAGAACGGTAGTATGTTTTTGACTTGCTGGGGAATGCTTTAATTTAAGTGTTTTAGACATTCTATTTGTTGTTTGGAATGTTTTTTACTTTTAAGTAGTTTATGCATTCTATTACTCAATAATGCTTTGCATCATTATCATTCAGTTGAGCTGGTGAACTGGCAAACTGTGTCAAAAGGGAGCAGGTTGCCTTTCTTTAGTTGTTATCTTAGAGATGGGTGACATTCTATGTTGCTGCTGTTTAAGTTAGTGGGTGCTAGTTGGAGTGGTGAGAGAGTTGAAGAAATGGAAAAGTAGCCTTAGTCTCAAGCTATAGATTGCTGAGAAGTATGTTTAATTAAAAGAAATGCCATGATTCATAAATTTTACTTGTAAAAAAAAGGAGAGATAGAGATAGATAGATAGGTAGAAACCTCCCTATCTCCAGGAACTAAACCTATGAGAGAACTTGGAACTATTGATGTCTTTGATTATTTTATGTGATGAATTTGTTAAGCATCAGGCAAGAGCTAGGTCGTAATTTGCAATTTTGCAAAAATACTATAATGTTCTAGTAACTTAATTGGTTGACCCGTGATTGATCAAGTACTAGACAAGTTTTCTGGTTATGTTGCAATTTCACCCAACCAAGCATGTGAGTTCAATATTATAATTCTGCAGTCTTCCACAATGAAATTAACTCATGTACTAACTTGTAGTGTTAAGTCTCGTAAACAAATCTGTGTTTACATTCGAGAACTATTTGCTTTCTTATCCATAAATCATCTTCATCAGTTTGGTACCAAAAACACTTCAAGAATCATGGTTTCAAACATTAACAGTCACCATCACCATACAACAGTTTTTACCTTCCATATAAGAACTTTGTGATGGTTAATGATGGCTATTTAATTCTATTAGATCTTACTCAGTTCAATACTACAATACTAATTTTGTAGACAATCAAATCAATGCAAGTTATGTGAAATGCCTATTTTCTTTAGAAATGCTTCTGTTCTTGCCTACACCTCTTTTCCTTTATTCTCTTTTGCAGGATACGTCTTCCCTCTGTTTTTTTTTGGGGTTGGGTGGGTGGGTGGGTTTGTTGGGATGTAGTGACTGTTTATCTAAGCTTGTTTCCTTTATTTTCATTTCTTTTTGTTTGTTTTGGTAACGCAGGTTGTGCATTATAACCAGAAAAAGAGTTAGTATTTGAACATTGTACTGCTTCTTGTACATCTTGCAGGAGGTTCCATAGAATTGGTTCATCCATCAGGTTGTGGGACATCAGATGAGAGTGGATGCTCCTCAAGGAAGCGTACAAGAGAGGATTCCGGTGGTAGCTTTTTCGATCTTAACTTGCCTGCTGAGCTCATTGATAGGAATTGACCTTATTGAGTTGCTAGTTATTTTGAACCAAGTGTACAGCTCTGAAAAAAAGAAAAAAAAAGACAAAGCTATTCTCAGAGAGTTGAGATGATAGTTTAACAGGTGATTGCATTTCACTGCGTCATTCTATTCTGTTCTTCAAATTTTTTGAGATGCCCTGTTAGAGGATAAAAAATACCTTAAAATATAGTTAGTTTTGGTCCAGATTTCAAATGTATAGCCTTTATTTGGCTTCTTTGGGCTAGGTAGTTATGTATTTTCTTACTGTCCCTTCCCTCACCCCCATGTGAGCACTCTAAAACGGGCAATGCTTCCTTTGAACTTTTGGTTTCATGTCCATTATGGGAAATATATTTGGTAGAATTTCTACATCAGCGTTGTTTACTGGTTTCTCTTCTCTTATTTAGATGTCTCCTAATGCCTCTTTTTACATATTTGATGAGATTGATTCATGTGTATTTCGAGACCTCCAGCATGTTTTCTAACTAAGTACTGCAATTTCCTGGAGATACAAATGTGTATCGTGATTAGAAATTTTGTATCCTGCACAGAGAGTTATAGCTAGTTTAACAACACCATCTATGTATGTTGGCTGCTAGCCCAGTGCAACCTTTTTCCTTTTGTCTTGGGTTTGGGACCTGAATTAGAGTAGGAGAGGAAGAGGAAGGGGAAAGTTCATTATAATAAAATGCGTTACAAAGAAGAGTTCGTATAGATTACAACTAAATGCTTTCACACAGCATGTACCAAAATAGCATAGAAACAGTGCATCTAATCACATAGGTATGGTAACATCAAAATGCATGAACTCTAGTGTATATGAAATTAATAATGGAAAAAGCCCAAAATAGTCCGTTATCTTTAGTTTAAGACTCGAAGTCTTCCTTTAATTCTCACAGAGCACTAAGAAAACTTTTTCTAACCCTCCTTCAATTTTTAATGTTGATTTTGTCCACAATTTTATTTATGAAATGTTCGGCCATATTTATATATGTTGAGTAGAAATAATGATTCTATATAAAGAAGGGGAAAAGATGAACACCTTACTTTATTCTATAGAAATTATTGCTTCTAAACTAAGAACACGTTTATGATGTAGCAAGAACATTATTTTTTCAAGTATTGCATGTGAAATCAATGTCATTAACCTCTCGATTTTAGCTGCAATAATGTTTATACTAATCAGAAGGTTAATAAGAAGAAAGGTTAGCTTTTTCCTTCAATAATGTTAAAAAAGTAGGCAAAAGTTTAAGGAAAATCGAAAATGCACTAGTACTACAAACATAAAGTACTAATAGTGTGAAAATTTAAGAACGATTTTAAATATTAACTCAAAAATAAAAGACTATTTTAGCTGCTATTTAATAGCATAGCATATAAAAAAGAGTCCTAATTTGCTATAATTCTTATCTAAAATTATGGACAGTGCCTGTTGTTCTCAACATCTAGGTCCTCAGACACCGGGTTTTTCCTAACACACTTTAATTATTGTGCCGTAAAATATTTATACAATTACATCACTTATAACAAGTAAATTTTGTTAAATTTGCACTTGCGTTTTTAAAATTATACAAGGGGCACATGCAAATATGTTCTTTTCTAGATTCACACAAAGTGTACATTTATCTATGCATTATTTATTAAAAGAAAATATGGCTTCGTTTTCTTTTCTTTATCTAAACAAACAACTATGGTATCCAAAGAAACAAAATAAGTAATATAGTATTTATCAGTTATAGTTACGACAAAAATAAAGAAATTTTCTACTGATTGAGCATCTTTCTTTATCTAAACCCCAGATTCTTTCTTTAATTCTATTCCTGTCTTCAATTTCCCATGGTCCAATTGTTGTTAATAAATTCAAGATTGCTCCCTCCGTTTTATTTTATTTGATCTTTATTGATTTGACACGTTTTTTCAATACGATTTCATAAGTTATCAAAGAAATCTAAATTCTTAAAAAAGAACGAAGAGTTGGGAGTCTTACAAGATGCTATGTTCTTTGATAACATTATTAACATCAACAGATATTACATGTAAATTAAATAATATAAGAATATTATATTATTACACTAAAGAAAGAAAAATAGGCTAAAACAAATTCTAAAGCAAAGTAGTTCAATACCTGAAAACGAAAAGTGCTAATGCAAACCCTAACCCTGAAAAAAAAGATTTTATAAATAATAGAAGAATATAGAGAAATTGTAGGAGATATTTGATTCAGTTTCAGATAATTAAGGAAGAATTGTATGTACCGTTTCACAAAATAAAATAATCTTATTCCTTTCATATTTTTAACTCTTTTTCATTCAATTTTATACATGTATTTTTATTTATTTTATGTTTATTTAGTAATTTTTTACTTCAAAATATTTAAATGTTGTGTGAATGAGCTGATTTTTCTTTTGGATTTGGATGATTAAAATCTGATGAATCCTAGTCAATGGGACTATTTTTTTTAAAAAAATATTCAAATAATTCATTGTCTTTTATTGAATGAATGAATTAAAGAAAATGGAAAAGGACAATGAAATCATATCCAATAATCTTCTCTCAGAAAAGAAAAAAAAAATAGATTTTTCATGGATTCTTCTGGGTGATTCATTGGGGAGAAAAATAGGGTTATCAAAAAAAGAAAAAAATATTGGAAATAAAAAAACTCAAGTATGCATGCATTGGGTGTTTAATTTTCCATAAAAAGAAATTTATTTTATTTACTCAATCTATTTAAACTCTTCAATTCTTTAATTGAATTAAAGAAAATGGGTCCTCTAAAAGGGCAATGAAATCATTTTCAATAATCTTCTCAGAGAAAAAGAAAGAAAAAAAAGATTTTTCATCGATTCTTCTGGGTGGTTCAATGGAAGAACAACACTGCTTATTGAAAAAAGAAAAAATTTCATTGGGAAGAAAAAAACTCAAGTATGCATGCATATGCATTGGATGTTTAGTTTTCAAGAAAAAAAAATTGTTTTATTTTCTCAATTTATTAAAACTCTTCTCTTCTTTCATTTTTAGGAGAAGAATTTTGAAAAAAAAAAGATTTGGAGGAATTTGAGAGAGATTTAGGGGAAAAAAAAGAGAAGAGAACAAGAACAAATCACAATAAAAAGAACAACAATAGATTAGAAGAGGGAAAAACATAAGAATAAAGAGAAAAAAAGTCTTCTTCTAAAATAAATAAATAAATATATTTCATCTTTTGTGATTTTTGGGAGTTCAATTAAGCTTGCTTTCATCATTGTTTTGCCATCGTCTCTTTAGGTATATCCTTTTTCCTACATTTTACAGTGTAACTTCAAAGACTAATAAAATATGTTTATATTTTTGGTTAAATTATTATGTTTAGTTTATTTGAATAAATATATTATGATATTTAATATGATTATGTGTTGTTGTTGTCGTTTGTTTTCTATTATCAAGTTAGATGTTAATTCTATCTTATCATTATGAAATTGATACATAACTTTATTGGAATTAGTTAAATTATGTTTTGTTGTTATTATATATTTGTGTTCTATTATTAAACTAGATGTTAATTCTATCTTTATCATTATGAAGTTGATTCATAATCCATGCTTTTGCTAAAAAAAAAAACAATCTCAAAGTTTTTTTTATTTAGTTTCGGGTCATTTTAAGAAAGAAAAAAATGAGTTTTTTTACAAAAAAAAAATAAAACACTAAACTGGTCATTTATGCAAAGATTGTAATTCTGGTCATTTTTACAAAAATAAATGTAAATCTGATGATTTTGCAAGTAGATTCGCATGTATCTAGGATACATACACAATTCTTGTTGCTTGTCACTATCTTATCCTCGCTCGCATTTCAGTGTACGAGATCATGCTAATTACACTAGATTTTTTCTAATGTTATTGAAACAACATATCATTGTTTGTCATATTTGATTTGAAAATCTTTTCATTTTTTTGATGTTATAGAATTATAAGTTTGAAAAGAAAAAAAAAGGCTCAGCCCTTCTAGGTTTGGTTTGAGCATTTCCTGACCCACTCAAATGAAAGGCCGGCACACCCTAACTATTCAAATTCCTTGGTCCGTGAGGCTTGGGCTGAGTGGGGTTGGGTCGATCCTTTTTGATAGCTCTAAGTATAACCTTAACTTATAACACTAATCCTAATGTGTTGAGAGTTAAAGCCTGTTTGAATTGAATTAAAAGTTGGCTAATCCTATTTTAAAGTCATTTTATGTTTTTCAAAATGTTTGACAAAGTTTAAAATACCTTTTTAAAAAGTTAAAAAAATCAAAAGTAGGTCTCCCTCTAATTTGTATTTTTGACTTAAATGTTATTAAGTTTGATTTTTTATTTTTACTTCCTCCGTCCACTTTTAATTGTCATAGTTCTTTTTAAGAACTTTGACTAACATTTTATGATATATTTTTTGTTATATTAATATGCAAAATATTATAACTTATAATATTTTTCATATAATTTTAAAATACTATTGCTTTTCTTTTCAAAATCAAATTAATGATTTAATTTAACTTTTAAAATCGATGAAATTAACATTCAAAAAAGTATTAACATTACAAAAGAAGTGGTTGAATAGAATAACTCAAAATTACCTTTTTTTTTTAAAAGTCAAATGAACTTTTAAATGTGGCGTTACATATGAGATGATCATTAATGAACCTCTTCTCTATATACTTATTGTTATGTTTTTAAAGTCAAATCAACTTTTAAGTGTGGCGTTATATATGAGATGATAATTAATGAAGCCCTTATTTATAAAATATTAACAATAAAAAAAAAGTGGTTGAATAGAGTAACTCAAAATTACCTTTTTTTTCTTCTAAAAGTCAAATGAACTTTTAAGTGTGGCGTTACATATGAGATGATCATTAATGAACCTCTTCTCTATATACTTATTGTTATGTTTTTAAAGTCAAATCAACTTTTAAGTGTGGCGTTATATATGAGATGATCATTAATGAAGCTCTTATTTATAAAGTATTAACAATACAAAAAAAAAAAGTGGTTGAATAGAGTAACTCAAAATCACCTTTTTTTTTTTCTCTAAAAGTCAAATTAACTTTTAAGTGTGGCGTTACATATAAGATGATCATTAATGAACCTCTTCTCTATATACTTATTATTATGTTTTTAAAGTCAAATCAACTTTTAAGTGTGGCGTTATATATGAGATGATAATTAATGAAGCCCTTATTTATAAAATATTAACAATAAAAAAAAAAGTGGTTGAATAGAGTAACTCAAAATCACCTTTTTTTTCTTCTAAAAGTCAAATGAACTTTTAAGTGTGGCGTTACATATGAGATGATCATTAATGAACCTCTTCTCTATATACTTTTTGTTATGTTTTTAAAATCGAATCAACTTTTAAGTGTGGCGTTATATATGAGATGATCATTAATGAAGCCCTTATCTATATTCTTATTTTTCTATCAATAAATAGTTGGGCCAAGTAAAGCCCTTTTCCAATAAAACTAAAAAAAAAATCATACATATTTTTCTCTCTATCCTCTCACCGGCCGGAGTTAGACCTCGCCGGAGTTATCCAAATAACCTCTAATTTTTTTATATCATCTTTGGTGATAAGCTGGTTGGAATGTTTGATTCCTCAGTTTGATCCATCAATTTTTAGATTCATACATCTTTAGGGTTTTTTAATCTGTGCAACAATGAAAAGTGAATGGAGGATTATGGGAACGGCGATGAAGATATATATTCATCTGATCGAGAATCTAAGAACTAACTTGAGAATGAGGAGGTTGATTCTCAATGGGGCTTTTCCACAGAAAATTCATGCAAGGTGCTTTAAAAAATCTGAAATTTATTTTTTAGTTAGCTTATTTCGTTTTTTTTTGTGTTAAACCTATAATTCTGATGATCATGTCATGTATGTGGTAGGAATAGTAATTTCAAAAATTTAAAACATGTAGGATTTTAGGTCAGTAAGTATTTGTGTAATTCTCTGGCTAGTTTAGGATTAGGGCATAATTGATTGATTGAAGTTTAGGATATTTACCAGGATTTCCTTTATAGATTTTAAGTTTTTATAAATTTTTCTTTATCTAAATTGTATTAAAGGAAGAGTCTTTGAAATTACCACTTAAAAACAACATCATATACTCAGTTTAGTCATAAACTAGATCTTCTGCTCATAAGTCTTAAAAGCAGTTAAAACAAAATTTTACTTTATGCTACTTACTAATTAGAACTAGCAAATACCTATTGACCTAAAATGCTAATTGTTTTAGATTATTTGTCCTATATAACATACATGATCATCAAAAATTGTAGGTTCAACACGAAAAGCGAAATAAGTGAACTAAAATTTTAGTTCATAAAGAAAAATTCTAGGAATATTGAAGCACCTTGCAGGAATTTCCTGTGGAAGAGTCTCATTGAGAATCACCTTCTCATTCTCGAGTCCATTGTAAGATTCTTGATCAGACGAATATATACCTTTGTCACTGCTCTCATAATCCTCCATTCACTTATCGCCACTACATAGATTAAAACCCTCCAGAAAATAATGTATGTTCGATAAACTGATGGATCAAAGTGAGAATTTGAGCGATCGAATCACCTTCTTACCCAAGATGATATAGAAAAATAGAGTTTCCTTGAGTAAAATTATTATTTTTCTGTCGAGGTATATCTCCAACTGTGGAGAGGATACAGACTCCACGTAGAGAAGTCAAAAGAAGAACACCTTGTTTTATTGGATAGAACATTGACCCGCTAGTTGGATGAGCAACCAGAGAAGTCAAAAGAAGAACACCTTGTTCTATTCGATAGGACATTGATCTGTTGGGCTGGATGAGCAACCTTCTATCTTATATCTGTACAAATAGTAGAGTGACTTGCTACTTCTAATAAGAAAAAGAAGATTAAGCAATACAAAGAAACAAGAAGTTGTCCCCTTGCAAGAAAAGAAATCAATGAAATAGTACAAAAATTCTTTTTTTTTTGCAACGTCATATGTCTGTTCTTACTTTAATTGTAATAATATTTGCCTTTAATTTGACTATTTAATAATATAGCACATAAAAAAGAGTCCTAATTTGCTATAATTCTTATTTACAATAACCTAAAGTGTACATTTATCTATGCATTATTATTAAAAGAAAATATGTTTTTTTTTCCTTTTCTTTATCTATACAACTATGGTATCTAAAGAAACAAAAGAAGAAATATAGTATTTATCAGTTTTAGTTTTGAGAATAATAAAAATAAATAAATTTGATTTAGATTTCTTCTATTTAACTGATATTTCTATTACTATTCATGTCCCCAATTTCCCATAGTCCAATTGTTGTTAATAAATTCAACACATCATATTGATTACTCAAGTACTTCCTTCTTTTATCTCATTTTACTTTGATCGTATTTAATTCCGAAAAAAGAATATAACAAAAAAGATGACAATAGTGAAAGAAGATAAAAGAAGAATATAATGAAATAGTAAGTCAAAAAAAAAAAAAGGTAGAAAAATTGTTGGAGATATTTGATACTGTTTCAAAAAAAAATTAAGGAAGTTACATGTACCGTTTTATAAAATCACATAATAATTTATAATTTTTTATTTTTACTTGTTATTTTTAATATATCAATATTTTATTTATACTCAATACATCAATCAATATGATGATTCGGTAAAAACTTATATTATTTTTTTTCTAAAAAAGAAGTGAAATGTAAAGTGGACTAACAAAAATTAAAGTTAACTTGTGATTCTCATTCTAATTATTTTGGGAGTTAAACAGAATCAGCGCTAAGTGTGGCATCATATGAGATGATCATTAATGAAGCTCTATTATCTATATACTTAATAATAATGTTTTTATTAATTGGTCTATGAGCATGTCTGTCACTTCCTTTAAATATTGTTAGCACTTGGCTTACCAAGATCTATGTTTTTTTTTTTTTTTTAAAAAAAAAGAATAACAATAATAGTGTGGAACCAGCTTATTTATCTTGATTAAATATATCAAATTACTTTCTATTATAACATTGAGAAAAAAAAAAATACTTACATCATATTGTATCTCGTGATTTTTTCCTATTTTATTAATCACTAAACTACAGTGCCATGACCTAGGTTTTCTGCTAGGATCATTGATAGCCTATATTTTTTAAATCTTTTTTGTATTTATTTTCAGTAATTAAATTAGAATGAATTTCGTAAATAATTTTTTGTTTTGTTTGGCAAGTTACTTCCGATTCTTATATTTTAGACGAATATATGAAATTACTTGTTTTTTTTAAAAAAAAATCTAAATATTTTATGGAATTCGAAGCCTAAAGGGCAAAAAATATTGTCAAAACTTCTAAAAGGGCACATCATATTTTTATTTAACCGAAAGGGCGAAATCCCTATTACCAAGCGATTTTCCTCTGACACATATGAATGTCGTATACTCCGTTGAAATTAAAAATCGCTGAGCAATCATTTTCTCCCATTTTTTTTCTTTTTTCACTAATATTGGTGCTGTAGCAGCGTTTTCATAGATTTTTTTTTTCTTAATTTTGTTTTCATGAAAATGGCTGCTTTGGCAGCTTTTTGTTACTTTTTTTAAAAAATCGTTGTTAAGGCAGCGTTTTACCAGTGTTTTGGGGTATCTGATTTTGTTGTACTTTGGGCTTATATGTCCCTGAGACTAGGCAACGGACCGAAACGAACCGGTATCGGATCAGAACAGGACGAGTTCATCGATATCGAGATGAATCGGATCGAAATTATCGGGACAGATCTCAGTCCCATCCCGTCCCACTATATACCGGGATGAAATCGAAATGGAATGAAATAAACGGAATGACACATCTAGTTATTCCAAAAAATAATTTTTTTGAATTAACGAAAATATAAATATTTTTTTGTTTTTCTAAGTTTAAATTAGTAGTTTTTAAATTTATAATGTAATTTTTACTTAAGTTATTTTAAAGATATCTTTTATAAAAATTTACTTATTAAGTTTGCAAGTTAAGTCTAATTATTATTTATTAATATGTTATAATTCAGAAGTAATATTTATAACTTGTAATTTAAATAAATTAAATTTGTAATTTTAAAAAATTAAATTAAAAAAATAAAAAAATTAAACAAATTAAAAAATATCAATTTAATTTATTTAAATTTATATTATGAATTATAATTTCAATTTACAACTACTAGTAAAGTGCATTGTTTACGCAACCACCTTCTAGGATAGGGTTTTGTTTTAACTAAGTCTCGAATGTAATACTAATAGGGGATAGTTGGTTACTTGGGTAGTATTTATTAAATTAATTAATAAATATATAATATAAATTAATTAATAAATATTAATTAATCAGAATTGGATCAAAATCGAACCAAAACAGGGATAAATCGGAATAAATTGATACTGATATATTGTTAACAAACTTTGGTTCCGTTCCATTCCGTATCCCCGTCGGAATATCCCGTCCCGTTCCGTTCCGTAGGCAACCGAACCAGGATGAATCGAAATTATATCAGACCGATACCAATACATCCCGTTCCGTTGCCCAACCGTCCCTCCTATTTTATTTTTTTAAGAGAAATAAAAGGATCACTGGTCCAAAAAATTTAAATTAAAAAAAAGGCAGCAGTTCTTTTTTATAAAAATAAAGTTCAGGCTGCAAAGGCAGCAATTCTTTTTTAAAAAAAATAAATTGAAGTACAGGAATGAAAAGAAAAAGAAGAAAATTAAGGAAAACGCTGCTAAGCAGAGCGGTTTTTTTTCAAATTATTTATAAAAAACTGCCAAAGCAGCGTTTTCACGAGAGAAAAGTGTTAAAAAATTCTACGAAAACGTTGCTGTGATAGCGATATTAGGGGGAAAAAATTTTTTTTGGGAGAAAATTTCTGTTTGGACAGCGATTTCGATTTTTAATTTAAACAGCGTGAACGATGTTCATATCTATCAGAGAGAAATCACTTTAATAGTAATGATTTTGCCCTTTTAATCTAAAAAAATATGATATATTCTTTTGAAATTTTAACTTCTTTTTTTTTGCCTTTTTAGCTTTGAACTCACATTTTATGACATTTTCAATGAATACTCCTAATTAGGAATAAGTCAATTTATGTACCTCGCTAGATATTAGTTCAAGTTGTAAATATAATTGAAAAAGTGAAAGGTAATATTCCTTGAATTTGCCTTAAATAGACAAGTTATTTACTCGTATTATATTGAAACGTGATATCGCTAATCATAATTAGTTTGGAATTGTTTGATCAGTTGAGTGGAAGAGAAGAGAATTCACACGTAATGCACAAGTTAGCTATCTTATTTTTTAATTCGAAATTTATATTAATTATTTGAATATAATTATCTTTAAAGTAATTCGATGTGAGCCAGGGAATAACGATTTAGTTAAAAAGTAAGCATAAAGTAAATTTTAAGCGTAAAAAATTATATAATTACTGATTAATATAAACTTATAACTTTAGAATATAACAGATTCAATTCTGAATTCGCATATTACCTATAGATAGGAGTTAGCCCCACGTAAAATATGTCAAGCTAAATTAAAAATATTGTTACCCCATTATTCGAGTATCGACTAAAGCCACAAAACAATAGGAAAGAAATTTAAAGTGATTGTGTTTCAATATGAATCAGGTTTTGAATTTGAATATTGAATATGGAAAACATTGTATTAAGAGTGTCATTCCTGAATGAGTTTTGCATGATGTGATTAGTTAAAACTCTAACGTGAATTTAGACGTTAAACGAAAAAAGTGGATTTTATAAGGTGAGGCAATGAGTCACAAACTCACACGTGAGTGTTGGTCATCGATGTGTGCACCAAGAAAGTATTCACCCTTTAAAACAAAAGGATGCATGTTTGTCTTTTCTCTTTCAAAATATTTGTTCATCACCACTTTACAACTTTTAGAAAGAATGTCGTCTTTTCTTCTTTCAATTCACTGTTAAGTAATCATCAGAAATGCACATCCTCCCATGCATCTTACTAGATGTGACATACAATACAAAACATTCTATTACGATACACATTATTTGATTTGATTGATCTAAGTTTATATTATTTTACATTAGTAAAGAAAGAAGTATTTCTTTAGTTATCAAAAGTTTTCTCATTTTTAAGATTAAGAGATTCATGATTTATGATAAAACTAAATCATAACGAATTATATTCATATCGTCACAATTTTTTTTACTATTACATAATATAATTACAACTTAAATTGTTTACAAATCAGAAAATTACTTACTAGACTAGTCATTTCAATTTGTCACATTCTTTTTGCAATTGCTTTGACCTTCACCTTTCAGCCCTTTTTAGGTGATCTCTTGTTAGTGCATCTCCTTGAAGGATAAAGCCCACCAACTTACTTTTTTTTTTACTATATCCATTCCCTTTCCCCCACAACTACGTACGTACTGATAAGATTTGTTCTCCCCCGTGATTGGATTTGGGTGATATATATGATCTGGTGTTATAATTAAATGAGGTATTGTGACGACCATGATAGAGGGGCAAGTCAGAAAAGGATTGACAAATTTCTAATTTAAGAAGACCTGAAGCATATTGGATTAAAGCAGACAACATGTGTGATGAACTTGGATGGTGAGACATTACTTGGCTAATTAGTTTAACGAAATTACATATCGAATTCTAGTTAGCACATTAGCATTGTATATTTATATCATGATTAGTAACTATTGTATTGTTTTTTTGGGAACATGGTCATGTGTAAGCTAGGATGGGAGGACCCTTCAATTTATAAAATCAGTACTTCTTTGCTGTACATACATTAAATACGTTATACAATTTCGTTTTGTCATTTGGTAATGATTGGGTAAATGCATTAAAGGAAAAACTTTGGTACTTTTTTAGCATGGTGTATATTCCAAAGTCTAAAATGTGACTTTGTTGAAATAAAAAAGGTAACCAGCTAATTTACTTCTTTTAATGCAACAAAAGGCTCCCGGTCCCTTCTCATATAAAGGTAGTATTGCTTTCTAAGTGACTAGTCAAAGCCTCACCAACAAAGAATAATATAGCATCCAAACTTCATCTAATAAAAAAATCTATGTATTCTATTTGAACATCTCTATTTAACTTTTTTTTATACGTCTATTTATTTTGAAACAATTTCAGATATGCAAAAGCC